CGCAAATATCTAATGCAACTCGGTACATTCAGGCATGTAGACATTGTCAAGACAAAGTTCAAACCGAGCATCAGACCGGTAAAGGAAGGTAACTTTGAGGCATGGTTGTTAGTGTGTTTTCAGAAACTGCTGATCTACTGGAATTTTACCACACAGCTCTCTCTCGAGTTTACAGAGAAAGGTGTGAAAAAGAGAAACTATCCAGTGAGCGCTATCTTGGTAAAAATGCCTTGTTTTTGTCAGAGGTCAGAGAAGAATGGCCAGACTGCTTGGAGCTGATAGGAAGGCAACAGTAACTGAAAAAAACACTTGTTAAAACCAAGGTGTGCGGAACAGAATCTCTGAGTGGACGGCATTGCGAAATTTGAAGTAGATGGGCTACACTTGGAATGGGAAACTGAGGCTACAAATTTTACAGGCTGACCAAAATTGGACAGCAGAAGATTGGAAAAAATATTTCCTGGTTTGAGTCTTGATTTCTGCTGCAACATTCATTTGGTAAAAACTAAATGGCTCCTACCTTCTATAACCATTCAGGCGTCTGTTGGTGTAGTAATGGAATTTAGGAAGTTCAGACCTTAGCAATGTTTCAATGCAGCACATGGCTGAATGTTTGCCACAAATGGCAAACAGATTAATGGACAGGTTTGCAGTTTATTATGACTGTAAACATGTTTCTCCAGTGTCTTAAGCTCCTCTGCTCAAAGCTGCTTCTTAAAAAATTAAGAAAGAAAAGATTATTTTTTTTGAGGTTTTAGTACAAACATCACAGAGAGCACAAAAAAAGCACTTTGCATTAAGATTCATTGCTTTGGCTCTGCAGGAATTCGGAGTTCCCTTCATGGAGACCAGCGCCAGGTCAGGCCTCAATGTAGAGCTGGCTTTCACTGCTGTGGCCAAGTAAGTATATTTCTCTTTGCAAGTGTCAGGGATTATATAAAGGATGTATGAATATAAAATGTGGTTTTTAATTTAAAACATTTAGTATTTTCATATAAACATGGACGTCAATGTGGAGTCAAAAAGATTTGTTACTCGTGTAAATGCTTCCTTGAAGTTGCAAATGTTTCAATAAAGATGTGAAGTACAGATTTAAATAATAGTTTTCCCTTACTAGTGTTTATTTATGTCTTTATTTGGCTAAAAGAATGGCAGAAAGTCAGGTGGTTACACAATATTACATTTTTTGCCTACCTCTGACTTCTGCATGGGCTTTCTCTCACAGTCCAGTTTTAGTATTTCAGTCTGAGCATTTTCTAATCTGTCCATAGGTATGAATGTGATTCTCCTGTGTTAGTTGACTGACAGCCAATCCAGTCAACTAACACAGGATTTTCAAAAATAGGTTAATGTGTGTAAAGGTCCTTTACCTCAATATCCTCTTCCTTTTCCTCAGGGAGCTGAAGCACAGGTCCATGAAGGATCCCAGTGAGAAGTTTAAGCTCCATGAGTACGTGAACAAGGAAATGAAGGGCACTGGCTGCTGCCGGTCTTAAAAGCCTGCCCCAGTCACTCTTTGGCTCTGTGTGTGTGTGTGTATGTGTGCCACTTATTTCCATACTGTACATGTTCATATCTGGTGTGATCAGAAAGGAGTCAGCTCCAGCGAGGTATAAACCCGTTCGACCTTCTGCTCGTCCATTTTCAGATGTCATTGTGTCAGTACACACAATCTCACTGTTGTCCTCACTAGTCTCGTTGCCTTCCTGCATCATGTGTATGTGCGTCTTGCTTTTCCCCACCCATCTCCTTCTGTAGCTGTAAATGTAGCCCAAGGTTATAATTGGCAAAAGGCAAAGATGGCACACCTCAGTTATTACCCTGTTTCAACTGCAGCTACACAATTATCTTCACCGTTGCCTGGTGTCCTTCTTTTATTTTGAAGGGTTTTTTTTGTTTTGTTTGTTGCAGAGATAAAATGCATGTTTTTAAAGCAGTTTAATTTCTGCATATAATTAATGTGTTAGATGCAACTGTCATTTTCTTCGGATGTTACGGATGAATGTTCAAATAGTAAATGTGTAGTGAAGTGTCCTCTGTACAGTTTGTGGTCAAATCAATGATTCAACAGGCTCCCTGGAGCCGGGTTAGCTCACCAGCATAAATTTAGTCTGTTTCAGCTGTGGATTTGGGAGTGGGTGGGGATTTGTATTATTTTAACACAAAAATCTAGTAAAAGCAAATGGGTGTCGCTATTTTGGATACAATGAGCATTAACAGCATTCAGATATGAATCCATATTAATATAATGTTTAAACAAATTTAGACATTTGAGTTTTGAAGAGCTGTAATGCGACTACTGTTCCTGATCTGTATTTTTTGTTAAATTATTAAAAACAGATAGTCAAACACACTGTATGCAATATACAGGAATATAAAATTGGGCTTTTTTTGGTCATTATGGTGTAAATACTACATTTTTTTCTGCATGTAAAATAGTTTGGATAGAAGAGAACAGCACTTTAGATAGGAATAAGAGCATGGGAGTGAAGTGAGAAATAAAGAGCTATAGAGACCTGAAGTATTGTACGTGAAACATATGTAATTTTTTTTTATTTCTCTCTTTGTTTCTTTTTTGTTTGTTTTTGTTTTTTGTAATCCATGACAGTGTATTTAAATGCTGAGTTTTGAGCCACCTCTCATTTCTTTATATTTTGCAGGGAAATAGCTGCAGTGATTTATCGAAACGTGCAAACATACATTGAAATACTGTATATAAGTCAAACACAGAGATCATAGAATTCTAACAAGCTTGAAATATCTTTAGATAATCATTGGGAATAGTTCTTTAGGGGTCTTGAAGGACATTTGAAGCTCTTCTTTGGATGTTGGATGCCTTTTGTTCTGTTTTTTGTCAAGATGATCCCTCACTGCTTCAGTAAAGTTGACCTCCAGTCTTGACAGTGTGTTTGGGATCATTTCCATGCTAAAACCTGAAGCCAACACCCCTGACTTATATGCAGCATCAGACAATGACAGAGCCTCCACCATGTTTTACACTTGGCTGTAGATACTCACTGTTATCTCTTGACCTCCTTAACACATATTAATCAATTTAACCAAAAATTTCAAATTTGCATTCATCACTTCAAACCTGATTTTCAGTCCATTTGTTAGATAATATGATATCACCACCCTGACCTTCAGATACTGTTCATCTGCTTCTTCTTCTACTTGTCCAGTTTCCCCAGTATTTTTTAAGGACATCTGCACACTATACTGAGATAAGCTAGGTTTTCAGCTATAGCGCTTGAGAAATCAACTCAATCTTGTTGATGCAAAAATAATATTTTTATGCCCATCTTTGTTTATCTTTGGCATTTTTGGATTCAACTAAAGAAATGGGAACAACTGATGTGTTTTTGCAACAGTAACATCGAAGCTAAAGATACAATTTTTAAAAAGCCTTTTGCCTTCATCCTTTGAGTTGCATTAGTTTGTGCCTTTTTAAATGCTTCAATAATTTAAATCATTTTTTCTATAGCAAAAAGCAACAAAATGCTATTTTGTGATGTCAGGTACAAGAATTGGACTGAAAATGGGTGAAAATGCAGCCAATCTCCAGAAAACAATAACAGAAAACCTGGAGAACTAATCCTCAAGACCACCTTAAAAACAAGAAAGTCTGGGTCTTTGGAAGTAGAATAAAAGGAAATGACCGATGACTCAAAACCTTTGCACAGTACTGCATGTATGTGTTTTCTGTACATTGGTATATAAATTGGGTATATAGTGCCATGTTTTCTTAACATTTTGAGCAGTATGTCACCTTTAATCGGTTAACAGTATTTAACTTATAATTAATATAAGAATCACAGATGACATTTTATATACTGTTGCTTAGAAAGACTCCATCTCAGTCACAGAAACCACATACTGTACTGCACTTACTGTACATGCCCATGTTTCTTTTTTTTAGCCTTGAAGTTAAGAGTATTGTTTATTTGGTTTACTACCTTTCAGTGTGTAACTTCTTTCTTGTAACTTAAAACTACAATAAAAAAAATATGTATACATCATATTTCATATTCTCTTACACAAATTCTCTTCTTAGACAGTTACACAATACAAAGCATGCAATTACAGATCACTGAGCGCAGCAGAGAGCATGTGCGTGTTCACGCTGATTGACGTCAGCTCTTCAGGTTTGAACAAATTGTGCGACAGTCCAATGAAAGTAGTGCTCAAACCTTGTTGTGCCTTTCTCCTAGGGCTGCTTTCACAAATCACTTAAAGTGTAGACCAGCAATCACTGGTTTGATGAAGTTAAGCCACTGGAGCCTTTTTTAGTCTAAAGCCTTTCCTATGTCTCCCTCTGCTGGATAATAACTCATGACATAAAGGAAATATTTAAATAGTTGTGTATATATAGAAGAAGCAGTAAGGCTAGGCAGTACCTAGTTGTTAAATGATTACATCTGTGCTAACAAAAAAAAGCAAAAATTGTTTATTCTACCTGTGTGGCACATAGAAAATTAGACAGTTTTAAAAAAATAAATACATTCAGAATTACACATTTTTACAGAAAGTCTAATATAAAATAATGTATGTATACCACCTTAATGATGTTAACATGCAGTTTTATGTCAGATAAATCTGTTTTGGTCTGCATATAACTGGTCAGAAGTTTGCAGTTCATACATCTGAAATGTAATCTTGTTACTGATGACAGAACACTACACTGAAATCTCGTGAGCAGCAGCCGTTCTAACTCCAAGTTCACAGACACACACACACATCTGCACATTCAGTGTAAATGTCCTGTTTCAAGTATGAAAGTAAGTCAGACCACATAGCACATGAGTTAGCTAACATTCATGGCTCCCCACGAAACGTGTCTGGCACATCATGTAGGTGAGGCTGACGAAGACGACGGGCAGAGACAAAAGGGTAACTGCTGGAATGCCAAATAATCAAAGCTGTGTCACCGTGAGGCTGTTTTCTATGTGAGCCTTCAGTTTTCGTAAGTGCTTCTATTACAAGATGTCAAGGTTTTTTTCTTCTTCCAGCGGCAGTTTCTATATTCCTCACCCTGCACCAAGTTCTTCGTCCTCATCACGGTTTGTGCTTAAAATATGCCTCCACTGTAGAAAAGGAGAAAGAAAATAGAGCCACATGAGTTAAGAAAATAGTGGCACGTTCTTCTATGTAATAAAAAACGATTTACAGTATTGTGCAAAAGTCTTGAGCCACTCCTTATTTCTTTATATTTTGCTTCCAAGGACCCGACTTTGTTTCATTCTTTCTAAAGATCTTCTTTTGACATCAGCTGCTTTTTCACTCACTTTAAGTCCAGGTCTTGTTCTTGACCTGAAGAATATCTTATGTTTTGTTTCGCTAAACCATTCAAGACTAACCTGTTACTCTTTCAAGCATTATAAGGCATTTAGGACATGAGCCGGTGCTGTCTCTGCACATAACAGACTAGAACCAATTTAAAATTTGTTACCATTTCTTTTGTTGAATCTTAACAAATGCCAAAGATAACACCGTTTGACAGGTACAAAATAGTATTTATGTACTAATAAGGTGATTCCCAAAGAGCTTTGAGCTAAAAAGTGTACACAACAGTGTAAGTTTCTACAACCAAGCTCTGTCATGGTTTTCAGCCAGTTGTGTGTCAGATTTTGTCAAAATTGGTGGAAATATGAGCCTTGCATCAGATTGGCGATCTGTCCAGGGTGTACCCTGACTCTTGCCCTATACCTGCTCCAGTCCACCCACAACCCTAATAAGGATGAGCAGAAAAGGATGTTTGGATGGATGGACGATGGAATTATGAACACAGAAAAGTATCTGATTTTGATCCCCTGTGCAATACTATCTAGAAATTGTCAGATTGGCAGCAGCTTCATTTTTCACTGCAAGTGCAGTAAAAGCATACCTTTGATAGAAAACACACAATGGGACAGTATCAGCCATGGATTGGCCTCCCCAGAGCCCGGAGGTCAACGTTACTGAATCAGTGTGAGATCATCTCAACAAAGAATGGAACAAAAGCCAGCCAACATCCAAAGAAGAGCTTTGAACATCCTTAAAGAAGCATTGAGAACAATTCCTGATAACTATTTACACAGCACTTTTTTGTATCTTTGCACATTTCCTAGCAAAATATTAAAAAATGAGGGGTGGCTCGAGACTTTTGCACAGCACTGTATGTGTTTTGTAATTTTTTTTTATTTTAACCTGCATACTCCTGAGGCAGCATTGGTCTGTTAATAACTGTAAGGAAAGCAGTGATCCATTCTTTCTGCTCCACTTCGGTCTCACATGCAAAGAGGAACTTCCTATCTGGGGTCACTATTGTTATTCCAAATGGCCAATGGTAACCCTGGATAGTGGAAGGGAGGTTGGGAAGCACAATGTAGCCATTTTCCTGACTACCGATGAAGACCTCACCACGTGCATAGGCATCCTACAAGCAGAGAGAGAAGCAGTTTTAATGTATGTAATGTAGTTTTATGTACCTGAATCAAACTTAAATTCAGAAGAGTTAATGGATATGGAAATTGCTTCATTAAAGTATAAAAACACACAAAACGTGTGAATAAAATCAAAGGTGCTGTGCTAAAGGCTACTTGCACAAGTTCTGGGTCATGGTCTCTTAAAAACAAGAATTGACTGTAGAGAAACATCACAGCACCATCTGCTGGTCACAGTGTGTAACTAAAATTCTTTTCATATGTTTTACTGGTGAAACTTTACTACCAGTGGATCCTTGAAATACAAGAGCCTCCTGTCATCCATCGTAAACCACCTCTTCTTGAAGCCCTCTGTGTGCTGCAGGACAGAAAACAAGACATCGAAGTCATCTTGACGGCATCACTGTGATTTTTTTTCTTTTATTTTTCTCCTCTCGGCAATTTTTCTACACAAAACAAAATCACCTTTGGACCAGTCTTCTCCATGTAGCCCTCTTTTAGGTAGTTTCTGGTTACCTTTGGCAGCAGCTGCACAAAGAAAAAGAAACATACTTAATCATTTCAGGAAAACATTTGATTTGTTGTTCGTTTCTTTTTTAACTGTATATGTGCGCATGCTTATATTAAACTGACTACTGGTTTACAGTTAAACCACATTGAGAAGTTGTTGTGATTTAGTGTTTTACATAAATAAAACTGAATTGAATTGAATTTGACATTTTAGAAATAAATAGTTTACCGAGCTGTACTGAAGTTAAAAACACCTGCAAAAGGTTTAAATTAAACCTCTACATGAGCTTAAATCATGAGTACAGCAACCAGATTGAAGCACAAAAGATGCCATTATTGTGTGCAATATTACCTTCATAATGACAAGTTCAAAAGAAAAGGAAAAACTTGTCTTCAGCCACCTTAGTTGTAGCTGCCTTCATGCAGGAGCCCATACGTGAGAGCACTTACTCACCTCAGAGTTTAGAGCTAGAGGAAAAGCCACCTGCAGGTAGCGCAATCGAGCTGCTCTGATGCCATTGAACCAGTCCACTATTTCCTTAAGAGAAGGACATAAGGAAGTATAATGGCTAAGTTACACATTATCATGTCATTTAAACCATTGGTCCCATCCCCAATTAACTCCACCAACAAGGTAACTTCTTAAAAATGCTTTGTAAGAAAACCATCTGAAACTAAGCTATTGGCAAATATATTGGTCACTATTTTTAATTAAACAGATCCCTGTGATGCTCTTACCAAAGTAAATTTGTTACATGTTGAATTGTAATTGCCAACCTTTTCCTCTAGAGGGACACATTAACTTTCCCAAGCTCACGATTTCCCATCTGAAACACCAAACGGGGCGTGTCAGCTCACCTTTCCATCCTCGTGGTAAACAAAGACATTCCTAGTGCTGTTGTCCTTTAAGTAGGTTATCTGCAGGCCATGGGCAGTGCCCATTTTGGATGGCTGGAAAGTGGCATTCAAAGTATTGATCTTCATAATCGCTTTAGGCTCTTTGGCCTGCAGAAAGTAAAGACTTTTTGTTAAACATTCTCGCCATTATCAAGGCTGTTTTTGCACATTATTAACCAATTGTAGACTAGGAGATAACCACATTTGCCAAAACACACAGGCTCCTTATTTATACAACTTCATATATTACAAAGAGAAAAATCAGGATGAAGTGTATGAAGTGATAGAGTGTAAGCAAAACAGACAGAACTCACGTCATGCTTGTTAAAGTATTTAAGCACGCCCTCTCGCTCGGACAGAATAAATTTTCGGCTTAGGTATTGTCCATTGTCTCTGCCACGTTTCCACAGAAACCCTTCTCTGTAGCCTGCCAGGAGGAGAGAAACACAGGTTGGGGGTGAAAGTAAAACAACTTTTATTAATCTCAGACACACATCTAAGAAATGTCCACAAATAAACAAACTGTTATTAACTTGATAATCAGATAGATAAATGTGCACTGGGTGATTTAGAGCAAGAAGAAAACTGTCACTTTTAAGGCTGATCCATTTACATTATAAAACAATGATAGCCTCTCTGCATATACTGTAGCATTGGCATTTGTTTTGGACCTTTGTTTCTGACCCTGTTCAGTGTTCAGTTCCCATCGCTTATGTTCATGCTATGTTTCAAATAAAATCTAAAATTATATGGTTTAATTTGCTTTGCCAGGTTAACTCCTACTATTTTGATATATTTAGACAGAAATTGTTCTGAAGAGTTGCAGCAATTGCACAATACACAAAGCTTTTATATCCACTTGCCATTGAAAAAAAAAATTGACTCATGCCGCCTTACACTCATGGCTGACACTTTAATTCCAGAAAGCAAGTACGGAAATCCCTAAACCCACATTGTCTTGCTAAATAGGTTTAAACTAATCCAAATGCTAAAGAAAACATAAGTTATATTATTGCACAACCACGTCTTGTGGTTACTCATCCGGTGAATTAAACGCCTATTACACAATCGCTTGAAGAGCTAACCAGTAACAACATTGGTGGAGGCCACTGAAAGACATACTGATGACCTTGTGCTTGTGTGTGTACCCTTTTAGTATTTGTGACCACTGTTCTAAGAACCTCAGTAATGGCTTTTACTATACATAAATAATTAAGCTTCTACTGATCTACAAGCCTGAAAATGACTGAAACAAATATGCTAGCACACACACTAAGCACGTTTGTTTCATAGCTGTAACTGAACAATCGGGAGCAGTGAATGACTCCACTTATTTTTAGTCATACCTAAATAATCATGTCAATCATTCGCCTATTTTCTCCTCCCCACAAACACATAGACACACACACAGTAGTAGATGGTCCTATTCTTGACCATGGCCACACACAAAACCGTAATAACATTATTCTCATACAGACAATTAAAACTGAAACACTACGGAAATATAAAATGCACCCAAATAACAGAGAGCTAGATCCTGATGCTGAAGTTGATACGAAATCAAAAAACACTTGGGTATTGTTCCTCAGCTGTTACTCTACCGACACTGTGATGCTACAACGCAATCGCCATAGTCACACGTGAACTACAAAGTTTCCCCATTTTTACATTTAGCACTCAAAAGGCTAATTAGGCAGCCAAGTGTTTAAGGGTGCATACTACGTGAGCAAATGGTCTTAACCCTTGTGTGGTGTTCGTATTTTTGTTACTCAGCCAGTGTTCATGGGTCTGGTGGACCCGCTAGAGTTTTGGCTTTCCAAATTAACACTATCAAACAATTTTATGTTCAATTACTCAACAGATGTTTACTTCATCCCAATTACAAGACATATGAACAGCAAACATGGTTAATTTTTTCCCTTTACCTTTGTTAGATCACATTTATGAATTAATGTGCTTCTCGTTTTTCTTTTATATAAAATGTTATAAATAAATCAGTTATAATCAAGTGGAGTGAGTGGAAAGACACAACACATTTACACGTGAAAAAATAATTAATTGTTTAATTTTTCTTTTGAAAAAAACTGAACATGGGTCTCACAGACCCGAACACCATACAAGGGTTAATCAAAATTAAATGGAAATCTGACTGGATATGAATAGCTGCATGTGTTCCTAGTAATATATTACATTGATTCGTCAGAAACAACGAAAACTACTTCCCCCGCAAGAAACTGTACCAAAAAAAAAAAAAAAAAAGCACCTCAGTTAATTGCTGCTGCTGCATGAGGTTAAATACATTGCTATAGAGGCCAGAGGCTTCAAAATAAGAGGAGGATGTGCCAGAAATTTATACAGTAAATTACAGTACCTAGAATTATGGTACACCTGCATCTTTCTTCACTTTCCTACTTAAATATGCATTTTGAGTCACAAATAGAACCTATTGCTGTGGCTGAGCAATAGCTTCATCAATAATTTATGAACCTGAACCTGTTTTCTTCCACCTCTGGGATGGGGTCAAACCTTCCACAACGACAGAATAGAGGAGAAGAAGAGAAATGATTCACTGAGATAACAGAAAGTTAAAGATTTGCAAACACTTGGAAGAGCAAAGGGAGTTTCGGATGGCAGTGTCCGTCTCTCTCCAGATCCTGCACAGATGAATACTGCATGTTTTGGCATAAAATCTATGTGCGCTGATGTATACAATGCTCATGCACAAAAGAGGGCATTCTTCCTCCACGGCAGGCACGCATATTCACATGCTCTAAACCTCTGCACAGCACAACACAAGGGAGCATTGACAGAGAGACAAAGTTTGACTGTCATGAGACTATGATAACAGGGTTTTATATTCTCTACCTGCAACTGAGAAGACTTTTAGTTTCTGCATGCAAACATCCATATGTGTGCCAGGATCTTAGCCCAGACTCAAATCTGCAGTCTACATTTTAAATATGTTCAGCTGACCTGACTAACACGAGACCAGAGCAATTAGTTACAAACCTTCCTGCTTGCCTTGCACATCTACTCTGCAGCACTAACAATACAACGCACAATACACTTCAGATTGTATATTGGCGCACAACAAAAACAAATCTTAAGCTTTATGCTAATTTTAAAATGCACGAGGTTCCTCAGAGACACCCAGTGACAACCTCATACGACTTAGTTAAAAGGGAACTGTGTTGATTTTACCCATCACATTCTGCTTCCTCATCATGTGGACTACAGCATGTGAACCTACCATCTGTGATGCTGCGCTACTACAAATTCTAAGACACAATCGCACACACACACCTTCTGAAGGTGTGGTTTTGAGTAACAAAGTATTGTATTATATAATGTACAATTTTTTTTTAAACTGCTTTCTGTCGGGTTGAACAAAATTTAACTTGCCTTGTTTCCTGTTTTCCAAACAGACGTTACCAGGGGAAGCAGTCTTTCAAGCTTGATAGTATGTATGGTTTGTGACCATCATTTCTTATCTGGGTAACATATACACACGTCTGACAGCTTCCCATTTCCTCAGACTTTGCTCAACTCTGAGTAGTTGCTAAAGAGAAGAGTGGATTTCTCAGAACTTAGCAGCATTGTAACATTGTGGGGTAGGCCTATCCTTTATGTGTGGCTCTTTTAAATAAGATCCTATGAATAGGTATAAACCCACAACACAAGATCCCCATTGCCCTGCAAAACAAGACAGCCTGCTCTGGAAAAAAAGGTCTAATCACAATAAAAATACTTCAAATTACTCCGTTCTACTAAATCATTTATCTCAAAGAGTGCCAGGTTAACTATTCACACATTAACCTCAACTTTTTGCCCATTTTCAGCACTTATATTCTGTATCTAAACATTTCATACAGTGTCCAAAAAAGTTGTAAATATTAAAATAAATAATAATTTATTGTCATTAATACAACTACGCCTATCTTTTTGGCACCGAGTTTGGTGAAAACCATACATGCACTGTGTATAAAGGTCTTAAAACAATATATAAAGAAATAGTTACCAACAGTTCAGACATTGGTTAGAAAGAATAAAGATGTATAAAGATAACAATCGAATAACTGGAGTTTTGTTTTTATATAAATAAAGTTTCTCCTGTCATCGGTGTTAAATATATCATCTGCTTTAAATATCTTAAAGTGCATTTTATTGCTTTTAGCATGGATTCAATTCAAATACATTTTCTGTTTGCTATTTTATTTAGGTTTTCTGAATCGACTGCATACTGCCCTTACGACTGTAGAAAAAAAGCAATTTTTATGCCATGATTTAAACAGCATAGGGATTTTCTGCAACACACCCAGCGATGCAATGCACCTCATTTTACAATCATGGCCATTGTGCAACTCAACAGACGATACTGACTATATGAAATGAGAACTCTAAATGTAACGTCCACTAATGAGGGTGTGTCCATATTATTCAGAGAAGTGAATAAGAGAAGATTGTTTTGGAAACGCTACATAATCTTCGCATCATAATCTTAGCTGTGTCATACATTCGTGCATGCGAAAATCACAATAGTCATAACAGGCAGACTCATAGTAGTCCAGTCTTGGCATTTGCACACTCATTGCCAGTCAGTGGCAGAGGCGTCCGTTATTGATTAACTGAGTCTGGTTTCCACTGGTGCTTCTTTGTCTCTTATGAGACTGCATTGGGCAATTAGCCAGACGTCCATTATGAAAGGGACATGATTCAGCACAAAAGGCATGGATAAGTGTTCACACATTAAGTTTGAGTTTAGATAAACTAAAATGAGAAAAGGGTGTTTTGGTAATTAGTGAGAAACGAGAATAAAAAGGATCTGTAGGGCAGAAAAAGACCGTTTTCTTCACTTGATGACAAACCCTCATTGTCTCTGCAACATAAGCCATGCTGACACACCATCTATCTCTAAACAGCTGACTATTTGGGCTGGGCTATGTAAATGAGCACTGGGTGATGGTGCCTGGTGGACCATGACTATTTATTTCCTATTACACCCTTTGATGCCATTACCAAGTCACATAGCACCTCCTGCAACAACTGCACCTGCCAACATCTCACCAATTAAGCTGATATATCTCATTTCTGTTTTTATGCCCTTCAATTATTTTCTTTATTCCCAAAATCCTGAATTATTACTTGAAGTGGAGGCGGTAAAGTGGCGCGTTTTCTGTCCTCGATCCTTGTTTGGGTTAATAGATGACGCTTTCTCGCTGATTCAATCAACACTGAATGGGTGGTGCAGCGTAAGACGCAGAAATACATCTTCTTTTGGTCATGTAAAAGGGTATAACTATATGCATATAACTGTGCACAGGTATGTTGTATTCTTACCTGCCGAGTAGGGTTCCTGCTTTTCCACGCACAAAAACTCCTTCCTCTCGTACTTGGCTCGGATCCACTGATCCCGCAGGACCCTGCAGAACGGAGGCTGTTAGACACTCAGCTCTGCCTGGGTTTGATGTTTACTTCATGCCTCAGCTAATTTGTTGTAAACATCTCATTAACTTGCGCAGATGCCGACCCTCGGGGATTCATTTTGTGCAAACATCTATCAAATACAACCTCATCATCTTGTAATTATCATTTGTGTCTCCCTTGTCCTGTTTCAAACATAATAACGATTAGATGGTGTGTGATGTTCTTTAGCATCATATTCTTCTCCTTTTTTCCCATTTTCTGTATTTTTTGGTTCCCTTAATAATAATAATCATAATAATTGCACTTGTATGCATCTTCTCAGTATGTTCAACCTGCTGCGGTATTACTGTGTGTACAGCTCTTCACTGTAGTAAATGGATCTGCCTTTTTCATCCCTATTTTCTTCACTCATCAGTCACCCCTCCAAAACACAACACATGCCCGTTTAGACTTTCTGACATGACAGGTCACTGTGGTGCTGTTCAAAATTGTTATTTATATCGCTGAACAGTTAAGAAGAAACCCTCGTGCTGAATTGCTGCTTCCTGTTCATACTACAGGAACTGGGCATTCTTATCAATGTCATCCTGCCAAACCAAAACCACTTGTTAATGAAGACATCCATTTTCCCAACAGCTGCAGGCTTAAAGGCACCATTGCTAATATTTACTGCATAAAATAACAATTAATTTAGAGTATATATAGAGAGAAATTTACTAGTGTTAATAGTTTTCAATACTTATTACTAAAAACAAAAACAGTTTCTGTCATATCCCACTGCTTTGTGCTTATCCATGTTGCAGTCATAATAAGAAAAAGGAAACCTTCTTTCAATTTAAAGGTTTTACATATCAAGACATAATAAAAAATAATCTGGTCCTTAGCCTGTGTTAAAATGATCATCATCACCCCTTTGTCACTGTGCTCGACTGTTGGTTTGGTGTGTTTGTGCTGAGGTGCTGCGTTTATTTTTTTTACCAAACATAGTTCTTGGCATTATGGCCAGACTTTTGACTTTTGGTTTCATCTGTCCAAAAGGCATTGTTCAGGAAGATTTCTGGTATGCTCAGATGCAACTTTGCAAACATAAGCCATGAAGGCAGCATCAAGGCGACCCTTCTAAAGTGCCATATTTCTTTTGTTTTTCTAATTTTCTACTGTCATGTACTTTAACATTTAACATGGTTGGCAAGAGGTCTTACAATGTTTTCCACTTGTGAAGAATCTTTCTCACTCTAGGAAGATGGACTTGAAATTGTTGGAAAATGACCTCATAACCCTTTCCAGACTAGTGGGCAGCAACAATTGCTTCTATAACATCACTGCAAATGCCTTTCATCTTGGGCATTGTGTCAGTGCGTATGTGAATGATCCAGAACAACAAGCTGCCAAAACTTCTTTGTTTGAGGTGCTCACACTTACTGATGATCAATCAATCAAGTTCATTTGATTAGTAGAACCTGTGTGCTACCTTCCCTCTCAATCCCTAAGGTTATACTTTCACACGGCTTCTGCAATTTGGCTTAATCTTTGTTAAATATACAATGGCACAGTGCAGTATGTCGTGTATTGTAGCTTGTCTGAGGTTGTATTTACCAAATTTCAAGATTTGCTGAGGAACATAATATTTTTTATTATGTACTAATGTGTAAAACCTTTGAAGTGAAAGAGGGTGTACTTTCTTTATATTTTGACTGCGTATTTAGAGGTGACTCAAACATAAAGTGGAACAAAAGAGGATGGATTACTTACGTGCAATCCTTGAAGGTGGGGCAGTAGTAAAAGGCAGGAACTAGCTGTTCATATATGGCTTTGGCAGCATTGTTACCAACAGAGTCCATAAACTGTGGAGGAGGGGAAAAAACATTCACTCTATAAGGAATATCTGTTTGTGTTCACAGCTTTCTGTAGATATTCAAAATGCTGTGTTTGGAGCTCAGTGTTAGTTTGGCTGACTCTTTGCCCAAAGTTTGACTGCTGCACTTTTGTGTCTTCGTATTTAAAATTGAGGACGCTGCTCAGCACGCGGAGAAGTATACACAGACACGCCTTTGCATAAGTACACAAAGAAGCTGGTTGTGTCCGTCAGCTGCTGGCCCATTTCTTTTAGTCCAAGCTTAATTCATATAGATGACCTTTATTATTTTTTCAAGCAGAGATGCAGGGGGAAGTGTGGGAGACAGAAAGATAGCTGCTCATAGATGCTTGAGAGAGATGGGTGCAGATGTGATTTCAAGCCTGATTGCTGATCCCCACTTACTAGAGGATCTCCTACTGGGTTTCTCACCTCCAACTCAGAAGGGGTCCAGGGATCCAGAATAAGAGATTTGACCTTGCTGATCTGAGCAATGTTTCGATGGAGGCCTGAGCAGCTGTGACACACAAACACGCCAAGGGTGTACGATGCCCACTCTGGGCCTGTAATGCAGGATAAAGAGGTATATGACTGTTGTAACTTTATGCAGTGTTGCTCCAACTGCCCGTGTAGCGTGGGTTATACCACAATGACCACACACACACACAAAATATTTTACCTTACGTAACTGCCACACTGAAAAATTCCTGACAGACACTAATGGTTCCAAATAGTAACTGGGAAAAGTGGTTATCACAGGCAAATAGAACAACCATTGCTGTAGTTGATTAAGATTTCAAATAAACACAAATATGTTACAAATGTCGCCTGAGAAAGAACAGAAATCAGCACAGGGAGAAGCATAACAAGATTAAGACAAGCTAACGATAAAAGCTTGATTGTTTCTCGGTCATTCTGCCTCTTCGTCTTTAACATAAGCAGATGATCAGCGCACAGCATAAATAGATTTCCACATATGCTCACTATAGTATACACAGGAAGTTACTAGTGCGCAATAAGCTTGTTTCTAGGACCTAAATTTAGGCAGCCTAAATCTTCAGTATTTATATCAAGACCCCGTGTTTTTAATAAGCGTCTGTATGCAGGAATAGATACATAAATACACATCACATTCACCTTTAACATGAATGCTTAAGCAAAGGTTTAAAAGTTGAAAAGCAGGGAAAGAAAAAACTTCACAGAGTTTTATGTATACCACACACTCTTCCTTTTTTTTTTTAACTCATGCAGTATGACAAGCTGCACTAAATGTTTTTAAATTTAGTACAGAGAACAAACGCTGAGCAGGGTTATAATACAGTGAAGGTGTGAGGAGATGCAGATATATTTCGAAGTTTAATTTTTAGCGTCATTGCACTGACCAGCGTGAGGCTATATTATACCTGCCATTGTGGTTATTTTGTAACTGAACCGCAGAACTGGGGTAACAAAATTGGTGTCAGCATTCAGCAGCCTTTAAACCGTCTCTGAGGAAGGCAAAGCCGCACACATGCAAGAGAGCATGAGAACAAAGAGCTCGATTACTTCCTCGAGCATAATTTAAAAACTGTGCACATGCGAAACAGTGTATCTGTAACACTGAGACAAGATTCTGCCGCGTGGTTAGCAAGTCCCACGCCGACTCACCCTCTCGGTCTAACACTGAAGTCATTCTACACAGAAAGTGTAGAGCCTAAAAATATATTTAAAAATGTATGAGTGTGTTCAAAACTTAGAGCTGAAAGAAAGGACTCCAAGAGAACTGCAGCCGTGTTTATTACTGGTATTTTAATATGATGCTCTCATGTGCTTGTCGCCTTCCACACAAGAGAATCTTGAAGGCTGCAGAGTAGATAAGTGAAAGTAAATTTCACAAGCAACACCTTTTTGAAAATGCATGCATGCTCTCATATACTGAGCTGCAGATTTGATTAATGTTAAACAACTAGGTGTGTTCCTCAGGGTGTGTGACCACATGTCTGCAAGCTGAAGAACAAAACCAACCACGTACATAAACACCTATTTGGCTACTTAGCATGAACAGTAAAAAATAATAATAATAAAAAAAATTTTTTACTGAAACTACTGAAAACCTCCGACTGACAGTATTGGTTGTTGTTGTTGTTTTTTTTATCAGAACTCAAACGTATTGCATCAGTGTGAAAATCTTCATTGTGTCAACTATCGCACAGGTGTCATAACTGCCCGAGAAGAGAAACTAAAGCAGTTACGTTCGTGTGTCTCAGTTGGGATTGCCACAGAATGTATGAACACTCTTAAAACTGGATGTCCAGCATCTGAGAGTGACTCCACTCCTCCAGCCTACCTGCAGCTCCACAGTCGGCACAGTTCCCATTCCCAGGTTTGTCCAGAAGCGCTTTCACACGCTGTCTGATCATTTCGTGATCGGAGGTCATTTAAGTTTAACCTATTTTGCTCCGACGCCTGATCAACCCCTAAAATCCTCCAGCAGTCTTGCATAGAAAGTAGCCCAGAGACTGTGGCCGGACGAACTGAAGTAAATTCGCAGGGCGTCAGAGCGCGCTTGGCCAAACAGGAGCGGTGTCGAATTTAGGTGGTGCCTCGATGAGAAGAAGAAAAAAAATGAAGCACGTTCAGCGTTGTGTAGATGCTTTAACACTGAAACAGCAAATGCAAACACAACTCTTCTTTGTTTATTTGGAGGGAGACCTCCAGTGGTCATAATGGAGACTTACGCAGAGTGGAACCACCCATATTTGACCTCTTCCTCGCTATTTCACTTCACTACAAAATGTAGTCTGCCAGATCAGTCATTCAAATCTACTAACAAACTCGGCAGGACCGGTCACACAGAAAAGAACAATTTAGATCAAGGTTTGATTAATTTAAATATGCTAGGGACAAACTGATTTTAATGTGTATAATAACTGCATTTCTTTTAGATCTGTTCCATTAGACTGTACAGAGGTACATTGTAAGCTGACTCACTGGCACAGTTTACTGGACATCCTCATTAATAAAATTCGTTTCACCGCACCATTTCCTGTTAAAGAAGATTAAGACTGCATGAAATTTACTATAATCGTGATAGAAAATTTCATGGGAAAAGGGAAATATGTGAAGAAGGAGCCTATTTTTTACAAACCCATCCAACTATACCAGGAATTATATGCTGAAAGGAGGTAATAAAGGAAGTAATGAGGAAAGTTTCCTCAGTATTTAGAAATTTTGACTTTACAATGTTGTCACATAGATGCTTCTGGGTGATGTCACTCAGGCAGGAACCTCCTAAGCAAAACTGATTATTCCACCACACCCTGAATGTCAGCAAAGGCCTCTTTTTCCTTGTCCCTTTCTCTTTTCCTGTGGCTGTAAGGCCTGTGCTCTTAAAACAGGAACCATTAGGAAATGATCAATAACAGTATGGCACAAGGCCTTTCACATTGTTAAAGTTTTATTTTTCAAAATGTCTAAAAATTCAAGACAAGGTAAAAAGAAGACACACTCGAAGACTGGTCGATCTGTATGCAGAGCAAGCTCAACCTAAAAAGACACATACTGGTCTAGCTTTCCAAAATAAACTTATACAAAACATGGAAAAAAAATGTTGGACAAAGAGCACTATTAAAGAAATGTCCATGTTGGCTACAATGCAGATGAGTGAATTCTGTTGAGCCCACATGAATACCGAGGAATCAAGAAACGAAGCCGATTCGGCACCATGAGAGATCGCGTACAGTACGAAAACCCGTCTATCGAGAGGAGTTGGAGCTGGAACGAGAGCGGTGACGCCTGCGACCGGGAGATCTGGAGCGAGAGCGGCGGCGTGCTGGCGATCGCCTCCTTGGGGAGCGGGACCTGCAAAAACGTAAATCAATAAGTAAGTGTGGAAGGGCAAGTAGGCCTGATAAAAAACACAAATGTCAAACACGAATGGAAACAGTAACTGGTCGAATCATTCATAGTACCTTCTCCTCATGCGCGGTGGGCTGCGACGCCACATAGGTGGTGGCGGGGGCATTCTGCGGGGTGGAGATGGTCTACGGGGTGGAGGGCGGACTCGCTGAGGCAGCACAGCACAAGCAGTGATTTCCTGTCCATCAATCTGACCTATTCGTAAGAGTCAACAAAGAGTTACCCAACACGAACGCAAGTCTGTCTAGATTAATCTTCCATGACGAAGCCACAGAACTACCCACATACCTCCGTCCATGTGTTTGAGTGCCTTCTGGGCCTCCGCGGGGGTCTCAAACTCCACATAAGCACAGCCCCTGTGCAGGTGCGGGTGGAGTCTGTCCATTGGCATGTCGACTCCTTTGATTGTCCCATAAGTAGAAAAGATTTCCTGGATATGTTCCTGTTAAACAAAGACATAGGTGTTAACATAAAAACCTTTGTGTTCTAAAAATATAAAATTTAAATTAAAATAATTACATTATGTAGGGAAAGTTTTTATTTTCAATTCCATTTTTGTAATATATCTATATTATGGCTAAAGCAGTTTCTGGATGGATGCAAACTGCATTTTGTTGCCTTGTACTTGTGACATGTGCAATGACAATAAAGTAGAATTCTATTCTATTCTTATTTACATAGCACTAAATTACAACAACAGTTGCCTTAAGGTGCTTTATACTGCAAGGTAAAGACCTTGTAAAAATATAGAGAAATAGGATTACCACCTATGAGCAAGCACTTTGGTGACAGCGGGAAAGAAAAACTCCCTTTAAACAGGAAGAAACCTATGGCAGAACTAAGCTCAGGGAAAGACAGACATCTGCCAAAACCAGTTGTGGGTGAGGGGAGGAAGACAGTACAAGAACGTGCTGTGGAGGAGAGCAGTTATTTAATAAAAACTAATTACTAAATGCAGAGTTATGTATAAATATCAGGTGGGGAAAAAAGCCAGTGAAGAAGAAACCCAGAGAAGCCTAGGGAAAATAAGAACTAAACCTTATTAGAGAAAAAAGCCGAAATGGGCAGTAAAACATGAGATGCTTTTACCCGGAACAATCTGACAGCTGTAACATTCACACTTAGTGTTCTGATTTTTACATCAGGAATTTTGTCACTAATAAGCGATGCCCCAAAACACCCAAATTTCACTTTTAGGCAACTATCTGTCAGTTAAGCTAAAGTACTGTACTGGTGTGCAGCTGGTATTACAGAGGAATGTAGAAAAATCAGTGACAACATGTTGCCACAGCTTTAAAGCCCAACCAATGTATGATTTGTCAGATTAGTACTGATATTTGGCGATTTAAAATCCTTACTAAGAAAAGTGCAGTCACAAATGTGTTTTACTGTTACAAGTTGTCGCCTGTTTACACTAATGGACTCTAGATCGCCTGGTTAATGTGTTGCAAATAGGAAAGTTGCAGTGTGCCCTCTGGTGGACAAACTATTTAATCCCAACAGTAATAACATGCTTGAAGGACGTTTCCTCTGTCTCCATTTATGTCAAACACCAACACAATATATCAGTATATTTATACTGATATCAATATACCCCCTCTTTAAATCAATATACAGAAGGTCGTCTAATTATTGGGGTTTTCTATCTATTATTGTTAGGCCTTATAATATAAAGTAACTTGAGCCGACTGTAGTTGTAATTTGGTGCTAAATAAATTTAATTTAATGTAATTTCAACCCTTAGCTGCATAGTGTGTTATCGCCTGTTTTCCCCTCCAGTGTGAGTGGTCCTCAGGTCTCCCTTTTGCTATAAAAACCAACCTTGGTGACATTCCTGGTGAGTCGCCCCAAGTAAACTTTAGTTGGTTTAGGTGTTGGGCTTCTTTTCCGGCGTTCCTTGTCATCTCTGGTCTTTTGTGTTTTAGAGCTGGAAAATCACAAGCAAAACACTAAATAACCAAGACTCAAACAAGAGAACATACAACACATCATTGTGCACAATTACCAAGCAGTTGCATTGGATGAAGAGACTTACACAGAGCGGGAGCGGCGACGGTTATCGTGGCGTCTGCGGCTGGGGCTCGGAGAACCCGAGGAGCTGGAAGACGAAGAGGATCGGGAGCTAGAAGAGCCGGAGCGGCTGGAACCAGACGAGCTGGATCCGCTTGAAGAACCTGAGCTGGAACCAGAACTGCTGCTCGAAGAAGAGCTAGATCTGGTGACAATCAATAAAAAAGAGAAATATATGAGGAAAGAGGACAGATTTTTATTTTCAACACTGGGATAAAGGATCCCATTAAGAGGGCAAACCTGCTGCTGCTACTGCCAGTGGATGCGCTGCGGCGTTTCCTTGCTTTCTCTCGTCCTCTCTCCTTCTCTCCTTCCTTTGTTCCAGGCTTTTCTTTGCCTCTGTCTTTTGTTTTTTCATCCTCCTTCCGCTTTGTAGGTGAGGGTGCCCTTAGATGAGAGGAAAGCCACTGTTATTTTGATATGTTTACGTTAAGAATAGCACAAAGTTTGCCACTTTAAGATTATTTTCACTGCAAATAAATATATTTTTACTAAATGCTTAATTGAAAAGTTGACAGAAAATAGAGCTCAACATATTTCACAGTTCTAAAGATAAAAGCTTTTTAAAACACAAAGGTTTTTATGTTAACAGCTATGTCTTTGTTTAACAGGAACATATCCGGGAAATAAATTGTATTTTAGGTCATATGTTTTCTGTTAGGTAGTTACTGTTTCAGAACAAAATAACAATTAACTGTACTGAGGAAATAATACAAGTTTTTCTAAACTTACAATACTTGAACAATTCGTAACGAGCAGCAGCCTCAAATCTCTTGATCTACAACTAGAACATCCTTTTGATATGTTGAAATTTGTATTAATTCGCCCATTTTCTCTACAAGCTTTAATTTTTGCCTCCAACTGCTGGAGCCCATACCAGCTGTTACAGGCCAAAAGGCAGGGTACACCTAGAAAGCCTATCACAGGGCAGAGACAGACACCGATTCATACATTCACATCTATGGCCGATTAAGAAACATTAGCCATGGATGCAAGAAAACGCCTTCCTGTGTTTTTTGGTTGTGGGAGGAACCCACTCAGACATGGGGAGAGAACATGCTAACTTCACACAGCAAGGCCCCAGCCAGCGCATTCAATGGCAGGACTTTAAATGGTAAATCTTAAATGGCCTGCATTTGTATAGCGCTTTACTCAGTCACTAAGGACCCCAAAGCGCTTTACACTACATTCAGTCATTCACCCATTCACAATGGCAAGCTACAGTGTAGCCACAGCTGCCCTGGGGCACACTGACAGAGGCGAGGCTGCCGGACACTGGCGCCACCGGGCCCTCTGACCACCACCAGTAGGCAAACATGGGGTTAGTATCTTGCCATGCAGCCAGGAGGCAGCCTGGGATCGAACCACCTTCTGATTAGTGGCTGACCTGCTCTGCCACCTGAGCTACAGCCACCCTTTATTTATTGCTTTGAAGTAACAGTGCTAACCACTGCACCTCTGTGCGGCTACTTCTGTGTCCATTTAGTTTTCATTAACAAGTATGGAATTTAATTCTCCCTATACATCTAAGTAATAAGCGGTCTGATATTGGAACCTTTAAATGCTTGGTGTCTATGGATGTCTTCTTTTCTTGAATGTTTTCAGGTTAATCCAGGTTAATGTTATATTACTACCATCAGAGTCATTCAGGTTCTGTATTTTTCATTATGTTTTGCTACTACAGTTTTCTTCAGTTTTTATTTTCGTTTTCCGTTTAATTTAGTTTAGGTTTCCTGGGTATGTCTGCATGTTTAATATACCTATTAATTTAATTTGAGCTTTCTTCATTCTCTTACCGTCTACATGTTCTCCTTCATTACATCTATGAACATTCTTTATGGTCTTACTCTTTTCCTGTCTAATTTTGTTGACCCCGGGGTTTTAAACTCATCCACCATCACTTCCTCTACGTTTTTATAATCTGGCAGGTATTTGTCACGTGCAGATTACATTATTATGATGTAAGCAAAATTTTGTGGGGGGGGAAAATCTCCAATATATATGTAGAACAAAGCCTCTTGCCTTGTATTAACAAACAGAAACTAATGGACATTATTTAAATAGTTTTAGAATTATTTGTCTTCTTATTAGATTTTTATAGTAAACCTCCCATAATAACATTGTTTATCAAGGGAAAATAATCATTAAAGTAAACTAGTTGACTTCACATCTAACATCTTGAGCACGAACGCGCCGCCATTGAATTTCATTCAAACAAGAAGAAAGCGACGCACGAGCTGCTGTTTCACCCAAAACCGACTTCAACTGCGATTAGAAAATGTATTTAGGCTTATGCGGAAAATTATGCGACGTTTTCGGGTTTAAAAAAAGCTCAACTA